TGTTGTGTAAGACTTCAGGATTTACGACAGAGCCAATCAAGGAAATCATGAAAGAGACTGTGGACATGTCCAGAAAAAAAGTGGGTGGGTGATTGAAGGGTTTCAAGATATGAATCTTGTAGAAATTCAAGAGCTAAAGTAGACAGTGCATGGGAGGAATTAACAGAAGATGACTTGATGGAAATGAGTACTTCTGAAACAGTGCCAGATGATGAGGAAGAAGATGTAAAAGAAGCAGTGCCCAAAAACAAATTGACATTACACAATCTGTCAAAGAGTTCCAATTATTCAAGACTGATCTTGACTTGGTGGAAGAAGGATTGGCACCATATAGAAACATTTTTAGAGTGAAAAAACAAGAGGCAGACAGAAATTATGATGTATTTCCGTCAAGCTACACTGAGTGTGCCTGCCTCTCCTGCCTTCCCTTCTGCCTCCTCCGCTTTTTCTGCCTCTACCACTCCTGACACAGCAAGACCAGATCCGCCACTTCTTCCATCTACTTCACATGAACGACGATGAGGATGATCCACTTCCACTTACTGAATAGCAAATAATCATCATGCCATGGAGTTCTGTTGTATATGTGTGTGTCTTCTTGTGAAATCTAGTAACTGTATGGCAAGAACTGTATGAGAGGGCTTCCCTGGTGGTGCAGTAGTTAAGAATCCACCTGCCAATGCAGGGGACATGGGTTCGAGCCCTGGTCCGGGAAGATCCCACATGCCGCGGAGCAACTAAGCCCGTGCGCCACAACTACTGAGACTGCACTCTAGACCCTGCGAGCCACAACTACTGAGCCCGCGTGCCACAACTACTGAAGCCTGTGTGCCTAGAGCCCATGTTCCGCAACAAGCGAAGCGACCGCAATGAGAAGGCTGCGCATGGCAACGCAGAGTAGTCCCCGCTCGCCACAGCTAGAGAAAGCCTGTGTGCAGCAACAAAGACCCAATGCAGCCAAAAATAAATAAAAAAAAATTAGTTCCTTTAAAAAAAATTAAAAAAAGAACTGTGTGAGATGTTTTTGTGTCTTTTGTCATCATTGCCTAAGTACTTATTATGTAGAACATCATGTACAAGACTTGTATTGAAATGGATAGCCTGTCTTTATATAGGTATAAGGTGAGTGATATTTAATGTAAAATTAATAATGTGTTTTCTTACTGTTTTATAACTTTGCTTTCAAAGAATTATATTACCATGCAGTATGCCTTTCTTTTGTAATTGGAGAAACTGCGTATCAGCCTATCATCACAGGTAAGTGGTTTCCATACTGTGTTATGAATATGACTTTAACACTGTATGCTATAAAAATTTTATGACGATTCACTCATTAGTGTATAGGCTAGGCTACTATGAAGCAATCATATCGATTACACTAGGCTACCATAAAGCAATCGTATTGCTGCTTCTTTGTTATCAATGCGTGAATTGTTATATATGTAAATAAATATGAATTTCTTTTTTACGTTATCTTTTCATTTTTGATATCTAGTGTCAGTAATAACATATAACATCTACAGCGTTTTGTTATCATATAAGACTATTGATGTAGGTACTGACAGAAAATTTATCTTGTAAACAGATGACATAAAATATTGATAAATAGAGTACAGTATTGTAAATGTATTTTCTCTTCCTTACGATTTTCTTATTAACATTTTCTTTAGCTTACTTGTTGTAAGAGTACAGTATATAATACATATAACATATAAAATATGTGTTAATTGCCTGTTGTTGGTAAGGCTTCCACTCAACAGGAGGCTATTCGTAGTTAAATTTTGGGGAAGTCAAAAGCATATTTTCGACTACCTGAGGGGGTCAGTGCCCCAACCCTGTGTTTTTCAAGGGTCAGCTGTACTTTGGTCTGTTAGGTATGTAATAGCACTATGTCTAAAAAAGCAATGTACATACCTTAATTAAAAATACTTTATTGCTGAAAAATGCTAACCATCATCTGAATGTTCAGTGAGTCGTATGTCATCTTTCTGCTGGTGGAGGGTTTGAAATATTTCAAGAATTATTAAAATGTGATATAGAGACACAGAGCGAGAAAATGCTCTTTGAACAATTAGTGCCAATAGACTTCCTTCTCACAGGGTTGCCACGAACCTTCAATTTGTAAAAAATGCAATATCTGCAAAGTGCAATAAAACAAGGTGTGCCTGTATATCTGGAACTCTGTCACGTCTTACAAACTCATAGCTACCATCCTCAGCTAGCCACTATCATCTCAGCTGGATTACCACCATAGTCTCCTAAGAGGTCTTCCTTATAATTTATTAACTAAGCAGCCAGAGTGATATTATTAAAGTGAAAATTAGATTGTGTCATTCCTTGGCTCAGAATCTTTGTAGTGGCTTCCCACTTCACTCAGAGTAAAAGCTTAAGTTCTTAAAGAGATCTAAAGTATCTACTTGATCTGTCTCTATATTACTCTTCTAGCTCCTTCTGCTCCAACCTTCTGCCATTTTGTTCACTTTACTGGAATGTTCTTCCCCCAGGTATCTTCTTGTACCTCTCCCTTATCTCTTTCAGTTTGTGGTCATTCTCTCAAATGTCATTATCTGGGTGAGGTCTCCCCTGATTACTCAATTTAAAAGCATAATCCCGTTTAAAATAATGATTTAAAAGTATAAGCTTTTTTTCTTTAATATTTATTTATTTGGCTGCATCGGGTCTTAGTTGTGGCATGCAGGATCTTCTAGTTGCGGCCTGTGGGATCTAGTTCCCTGACCAGGGATCAAATCCGGGTCTCCTGCATTGGGAGCGCAGAGTCTTAGCCACTGGACCACCAGGGAAGTCCCTAAAAGTATAACTATGTATTCCTTAGCCTCCTGTTCGCCTTTATTTTTTCCATAGCCTTACCACCACCTAGATACTATGTATATATCTGTTTATTATCTGCTTCTCATCACTAAAGCTCAGTGAAGGCAGGAATTTTGGTCTTTTTCTTATTCACTACTGTGATATAATCTGGTATGTAGAACAGTGCCTGAAATAAAGGTTGCCAATAAATACTTGCTAATTGAGTGACTGAATGAATTTGTCTCTAGGCAATTAATATTGACCAATCCTTAACATGGTAGACTTTTGATATTTGCAAGATTACATTTTGAGACTTTTATATATTACCAAATTCATATACATTGTAGTATATAATTTCATTTTAATTTTCTGTAAATGGAGTAATACCTATATTCTTCGGATTAAATGGAGGGAAAAAAAAGCTGAGTTGATTTTTATTACTAGTTCCTTGATCATCTCTTTTTGGTCCAGGTGCCTGTAGGTGATCAACCTAAGGATATTGAGCTTCAAATCAGAGAGCTCATTCTTCGGTTCATCAGTAATCCAAATTCCATTATCCTCGCTGTCACTGCTGCTAATACAGATATGGCAACATCAGAGGCACTTAAAATTTCAAGAGAGGTAGATCCAGATGGTAAGGACAGATGTTAATTTTTAATGAGATGCTTGGTTAACATGGTAAATCTACCCTCGAGAGTTTTTATTTTTAAAAAGAATATCTCTAGCTGTTAATACACATTTTTAAAATAATGCTTTTCTATTTTACTTATATTATCAACTAGAAATTTTGGTGGAAATGGATAAATTGCTGTACAGGCTAGGCAAAAATACTTCACATGATGTCCATATTTGTAATGATTACCTAATGATTTTAAAATAAGAAGATGGCTTCGCAAAAAGTTTGTTTTGTATAAATAAAATGACTTAGGTTTTTGAATGGCTGATTTCTAAGAATAACTGTCATGGTAGGTAATCATTGTAGACTATTATAGTATAGTAGATAATTATGGTATCTACATTCTGCAGAGGTTCAAGGCAGAGGGGATTCTTTGAAATATAGTTCATACTGTGAGTCAGTATATGATACCTGACTAATGCTGCAGTGTGCATCTTATATAAGATGCCAGACTGTAAGTTATTATTGCTGCTAATAAATGTATGCTTTGCTGTATACAGGAGCCATTTTTTTTTTCATCTGAGTATTGAGGGTCTGTGGGCAGTGTCATGTTTCTTATTTCCTACTTTGAATAAAAATTTAAAATAAAAATTTGGTAGGAAATGTTAATGCTAATAAGACTGCTAATTAAAATTCCTATAAACGGGGTCATTTCTTAAAATTTTTTATTTCAAGTTTTTAAGAAACTTTTATATGAGCAATTAATGTTCATTTTAGATTAAAAGATAAACTATATCAAAATGTTTATCTAAATTTTATTTTTATTATATAAAGTAAACTGTTAGGCATTTTATATACATTAATTCTATTTTAAACTGACCCTTGAGCCATAAATATAATCATACTTTTGATCTAGTGATCTTAATCTAGTAATATAGTATAAGAAAATAATCCAACCCAGTATTATTTATAAAAAATTAGAATCAATATATGGCCCACAGTAGGAATGATAAGATAATAATAGAATATGGAATCATTAAAAGGGATGATTTTATAGATTTGGACCAAAATACAAAAATGCTTCTAATTGAAAAGTGCCATATGTAAAATTGGACATTATGCAGAGCAGCTGGAACTCTCATACATTGCTGGTAGGAATGGTATAGCCACTTTGGGAAAAAGTTTCTCAGTTTCTTAAACAGTTAAATCTGTAATTCCACTCCTAGGTTATTTACCAATGTTAAATGAAAACCTATGTTCGTATAAAGAACCTGTATGCAAATATCTATAGTAGCTTTATTCTTAATCTCCTAAAACTGAGAACAACACAAATGTTTCTCAAATGGGGAATGAATAACTAGACTATAGTGTGTCCATACTGTGGAATACTACTCAGCAATAAAAAGGCATGAACTATTGATACATTCAACAAAATAGATGACTCTCACAAGCATTATGCCAAGTGAAAGAACCCAGACTCAAAAGGCTATATATATGATTCCATTTATATAGCATTCTGGAAAAGACAAAACTAGGAATGGGATAGTACAAGGAAATTTTGGTGGGGGTTGAGGGGGCAATGGAACTGTTTTGTTTTGAGGTAGTGGTGACATTGCATTTGTCAAAACTCATAGAACTGAAAAAAAGCCATTAACCAAGAGATGTTTAAACTCTCATCCCTGGATCCTGTCCACGCTGGCATGGTGAATAAATTCTGGCATTTTGGTGGCAGTGAGAGGAGCCAGCGATTCACTGAGCGCTGTATCTGGGCCTTCCCCACCTTCTGCCTGCTGGGGCTGGAGGGGACCCCTGTGTCCTGGTCCCTGATGGACTAGACAGGAGAAATGCAGTCGGGGGTCACCCTGCCTGAGTACCGGGGCCAGGGTCTCGTCTCCCATATGTTGTTTGTCCACACCCAGGCTCTGGACAAACTCGGCTTCCCTGTATATAACCATACAGAGCCAACAAAGTCATACAGAAAATTAGTTACAGTCTGCATCATATCCCATGCCCTGTGATTGGAACCAGTGGAACTGTGTACCTCTGTGAGGCAGCCCTGAACCCAAGACAGTGTTGGGCGGGCTGGTTATGTGGCAGGAGCTGCCAAGGGGTGTGCAGAAAGAAAGAATAAATTGTAATGAGCAAAAAAAAAAAAAAAATCATGAATTTGTGCTCTGCAAAAATTCACTCACTAGGCATGAGTGAATTTTAAACAAAATTTTAAAATGCTAATAAAAAAGTTAGCCTGAAGAGCTAATAAAAAATTATATGTGAAAAATTTTAAAAATTAAACATGATGATTACAAGTAGTTTTTAAAAAGTATTTGTAAGCAAAGGTTAGAAAAACATTACCAAAATGATGGCAACAGTAATGTTAGGTGGGATTATAGATTAGGATTTTCCTTTATTAATACTTAATAGCTTAATTTAATGGGTCATTTCTTTTCTTTTTTGCATTTACCAGGTCGCAGAACCCTAGCTGTAATCACTAAACTTGATCTCATGGATGCGGGTACTGATGCCATGGATGTATTGATGGGAAGGGTTATACCAGTCAAACTGGGAATAATTGGAATAGTTAACAGGTTAGCAATCAACAATGGGATAAGAATTGCAGCATTCTCATTTCAAAGCAAATCTGAATTTTTTGAATCAGTCTGAAATGTGATAGTGTCCCTACTTTTTCCCCTTTTACTATAATCTTGGTATTGCTAAAGAATTCATTGCTCTAAAGGAAGAGATTCACTAAAGCCTCCTGTAGATATTTTTAAATAGAAAGTGTTTCTAAAGTAAGCAGTGCCACAAAATGGAAGAAAATTTAATGGCTAGGCTTAAAAAAATCCCTGTCTATTATATTATGTATGAGGAGGGCACTGGATAAAAAAACGTATTATTTAGTTTACACCCAGTCAAGTGTTCTTAAGGTGGTAGTATTTTAATAGATCGATTTAACTCCTAGCATTAGTGATTCTATGTAATTGCCAGGAAGTGACTTGGAGAAATTTTATTAAAGGTATCCTAATTATAAGTAGGTGAAATTAAAAATTGTGGAAAGGAAACTAACTAGAGTTGAGTGTCTACTTAAGTTTTAGACGCTCTACTGTGAGAAATTTTTAAGGGTATCTCTTTGAACCCTTACAACGTCCCTGTGAGATATGTATATTGGTCTGTTTTATAATCAGAAAACTTAAGTTATACATTTACCAAAGTCACATGGCTGGTGAAAGCAGAGCCAGATTCAAGTGTAGATCTTAGTCCAAAGCCTTTATAAAATAGGAAGCACTGAAATTGTCATGAGATCTGGGTTCTACTCCTAGTTCATCTACAAACTAGATATAATGTGGGTTTAAATGGCTCCTAACATCTTTGGTCTCAGACCTTTTAAAATGAAAATGCTACTAAGTGATGTCTTTACAGTTGTCTGCTTCTAATCACATGTCCTTCTCCCTCACCCCTACTCTTTTTTTTTTTAATTCGTATTTTCTTTTCAGGCAAGCAGGTGGTATAAAACTGTTTGTTGTATTTTTGGATGGCTACTCTTCAATTTAGTTGCCTGTCCATGGATAAAATATACAGTTGATTAAGACACACATATATCTTCACCTGTTTATCCCTGTTACTTGAGTACTGCTTTTGACTGTAGTTAATGGTAATAATGAGGCCTAAATTATTCAGGCTTTGCTTACTTAAAAGTCACACAGTTTGAATCGTGGTTTAACTACTTAATTTGTGACTTTGGGTAAGTTAGTTAATCTCCCTGGGCCTTAGTTACTTTGCTATAAAATGGGATAATACCTATTGCATAGACTGATTGTGAGAATTAACAATTCATGTCAGGCATTATAGACAGTGCCTGGTGCCATCATCATCATCATTATCATCATTCTCATTATCCAGAGTACTTAGTACCACAGTTGACTTTAGTTGAACAGTTTTATTATTTTTCAACCTTAGGAGCCAGCTAGATATTAATAATAAGAAGAGTGTAACTGATTCAATCCGTGATGAATATGCTTTCCTTCAAAAGAAATACCCATCTCTGGCCAATAGAAATGGAACAAAGTATCTTGCCAGGACTTTAAACAGGTAACATTTTTTACCTTTTGGAAAATGAGATGTTTCTGGGTTGCCAATAGGTGTCTGAGACCTTTGATTATCAGTTCCTTACATTTTTATAATGTCCTTGTCTGTAAAATTTCACTTTTTGTTTCTTGTATAGTAGGTTCTGATAATGTAGATATTTATTTTTATTGTGGTGGTTGGCATTAAATCATCGTGTAGTCTAGGAATGCTCAAGTGAATTTTAAAATACCTTAATCATGAAATTCTTGACAGTCATTTTACTTTTGATGATAGAACTAGACTATCAAGAATTTCATGATTAAGGTATTTTAAAATTCATTTGAGCATTCCTAGACTACATGATGATTTAATGCCAACCACCACAATAAAAATAAATATCTACATTATCAGAACCTACTATACAAGAAACAAAAAGTGAAATTTTACAGACAAGGACATTATAAAAATTGATTTTAAAAATAAAAAAAGATTGATTTTGACTATGCTGAGTACCCATTGTAAAAGATAAGTCGGAAACCAAAATAATATAGGTAGAATTGGATTGAGTAGCTTACTTTCTTTGAGTTAACTGCAATAATATAAAAAATTTTTTTAAATTTATATTTGATTCTCTAGCAGTTGCTACAATTTGATGGGTTGAAGGCACATTTAAAAAGCATTTACTAAGATGGTTTCCTTCATGTCATTTTTTTCAGGCTACATATTTACCTTCTAGTCTAAGATTGCATTATTTCCTACCAGGACAAATTGACAGGTTTCCCTATTATTTGCATTTTAAAATTTGACCTGGTTGGGTCTTCAAAATACACAATTACTTTAAAATCCTTCCTTTCTCACCTTTGTTAGGCTACTGATGCATCACATCAGAGATTGCTTGCCAGAGTTGAAAACAAGAATAAATGTTCTAGCTGCTCAATATCAGTCTCTTCTAAATAGCTATGGTGAACCTGTGGATGATAAAAGTGCTACTTTACTCCAGCTTATTACCAAATTTGCCACAGAATATTGTAACACTATTGAAGGAACTGCGAAATATATTGAAACTTCAGAGCTGTAAGTAAGAAATTTCTCTATGGATTTGGTTACCTGGATTGATAGGTTAGATAAAGATAAAAGATAAAGATCTTTTGTTACAGTGACTTAACTCTGAGATTATCTGATTGTAATTTATTATCTGTAAAACAGGAATATCATTTTGTAGAAATGATAATGTCTCATATGTATGTAAAATGCTTTATAAATTATGTAAAGCATGGTAAAAGTTTCAGGGCTTTCTTTAAAACAAGACTTTAATTGATAAGCATTTATAAAATTTCATAATTTAAAAAAATGTTTCTTTAATACACACAATATAATTGTTCATGAAAAAATACAAAAATGAAGAAAAGAGTAAAACATAAGGACAAAATTGCTTTTAATTCTATCATTAAGAAATAATCCCTGTTACTTTGGCATTAATCTAGACAATTTTCTATGCTTCTATAAAACATATAACTGCCTGTAATACACATCTTTAAAAATCAGATGCTATGGAACCATTTCTTTAAATCAACATGTCACAACTAGTAGTAATTGTATATTTGTATTCTCAGTCTTAAGATTTACATAGTATTTTACTTTTTAGACATACACTCTTATTTGTTCAACTAGTCCCCTACTATTGATAGTTTGCTTTCAGTTATACACAAATATAAAAAATGTTGTGATGGACTATCTTTGGGCCATGTATCCAAGTAAACCCTTAGATTAAATTTCTAGAAGTGGAATTACTAGATGAAAGGGTATATAACATCCTCAAAGTCTCTTATTATTGCTATACTATTAGTAGATTGTATTTTTTAAAATAAATTTATTGATTTTATTTGTTTATTTTTGGCTATGTTGGGTCTTCATTGCTGCGTGCAGCCTTTCTCTAGTTGTGGCGAGCGGGGGCTTCTCTTCATTGCGGTGCGTGGGCTTCTCATTGCCGTGGCTTCTCTCGTTGCAGAGTACGGGCTCTAGTTGCATGGGCTTCAGTAGTTGTGGCTCACGAGCTCTAAAGTGCAGGCTCAGTAATTGTGGTGCATGGGCTTAGTTGCTCCGCAGCATGTGGGATCTTCCCGAACCAGGGCTCGAACCCGTGTCCCCTGCATTGGCAGGCGAAATCTTAACGACTGTACTACCAGGGAAGCCCGATTGTATTGGTTTTTTTTTTTTTTTGTGGTACGCGGGCCTCTCACTGTTGTGGCCTCTCCTGTTGTGGAGCACAGGCTCCGGACGCGCAGGCCCAGCGGCCATGGCTCATGGGCCTAGCCGCTCTGCGGCATGTGGGATCTTCCCAGACCGGGGTACGAACCCGTGTCCCCTGCATTGACAGGCGGACTCTCAACCACTGCGCCCCCAGGGAAGCCCCGATTGTATTGTTTTACTATTAGCAATATAAAAGAATATCCATTTCTCTAAACTCTCACCTTTAAAAAGAAGTTTTAATTTTGAAAAATAATTATAGACTTATAGGAAGTTGCAACTAAATGTACAGGGAGGTCCCATTCACCCTTCACCCCATCTCCCTCAGCATTGACATCTTGCATATCTGTAGTACAATAAAAAGCAAGAAAATAGACATTGGTGCAATCCACACAGCTTATTCAGATTTCTCCAATTATACACATACTTCATGTCTGTGTGTTTGTATGTATGTATATAAAGTTCTATGTACTTTCATGTGACCCAGGTAGCCTTCTATGTGAGTTAATGCCGTGGAATATTTAACAAACTAATTACTGAATGGTTTTAAATGTATGCATATTAAGGGAAATAAAGATTACTAAGATAAACCTTTAAAGAGTTCAGTGGGTAAGGTACGTCAAGGTAACACAAGGGTTGATTAGGTGGCAAAAGGAGTATAATTTTTAATTAAATACTTCTTATTAAATATAATACATAACCAGAAAAGTGCATATAACATATATGGACAGTTTTATAAGTAGTTAATTAAGCAATATCTTTGTAATTACTTAATCAAGCCTTATTAGAACATTGAAGAGAGACCACTTTCATTTCTTTCAAGGATTGGGAGAGCTCCATAGTTAGGAATGCATTTGGGTTGGGTTCTGAATAGAATATGGGAAGGCTGTAAGTAGAAGGGTATTGTAGGCTTCGGAACAGCAAAGATTAACGCAGGGCGAATTTGGAGAATGGCATATACAATGACGGGATGTAACAGGAGGTAAGGCAGGAAAGGTGTCTAAGAACAAGACTGTGGAAAGTCTAGTATCTTCAGAATTTGAAGAACTTCCTACTATAAAAAAATAAAACACTTCTGGTCACAGGAGTAACCCATTTTAGAAGGATATTCTGGTCATTATGGAAGCTATTTGGAGAAGGGAAAAGTTGGAGGCAGAGAGACCAGTTATTGATAATTTTAACTATTTTAAAGTATAATACGTAGCACTAAGTACATTCACAGTATTGTACAACCATCAAATAGTATCTATTTACAAAATTTTTTATTACCCCAACAGAAACTTTGTATCCAAATAAGCAATATCTCTGTGTTCCCCTCTTCCCCCAGCCCATAGTAACCTCTGACTTACTTTCTGTCTATGAATTTCCTTGTTCTAGATATTTCATATAAGGAGAATCATACAATATTTGTCCATTTGTGTCTGGCTTATTTCACTTAGCATAATGTTAGGCTGGTATCTTCTGCCTAGACTTCTGTAAGAAAGTAGTGAATAGTGATGGTGAAAACAGAGAAGATGGGATGATTTGGGGAGATATAAATGTATTTGTAAATTTTCAACTAGACTTGAATGAAAAAAAAAAAAGATAATAACCAGGGTTTCTAGTCATTAAGATAGGAAACATGGGCTTCCCTGGTGGCGCAGTGGTTGAGAGTCCGCCTGCCGATGCAGGGGACACGGGTTCGTGCCCCGGGCCGGGAAGATCCCGTGTGCTGCGGAGCGGCTGGGCCCGTGAGCCATGGCCGCCGAGCCTGCGCCTCCGGAGCCTGTGCTCCGCAACGGGAGAGGCCACAACAGTGAGAGGCCCGCGGAACGCAGAAAAAAAAGGAAAAGCCATGGCCACTGAGCCTATGCGTCCGGAGCCTGTGCTCCGCAACGGGAGAGGCCACAATAGTGAGAGGGCCCCGGAACAAAAAAAAAAAAAAAAAAAAAAAAAAGGAAACACAAGGTGTCCAGTATGTAGGCCCAGAGATTTAATTTGTTTAAAGCAGGGATAGGCAAACTGTATATAGCCCATTGACTACAAATGACTTTTGCACTTTTAAATGGTTGAAAAAAATTCAAAGAAGAATATTTTGTAATGCGAAAATTATATAAAATTCAAATTTTAGTGGGCATAAATTTTATTGGAACATAGCTGTGCTTATTTGTTTACATACTGTCTGTAGTTGCTTTTGTGCTTAATGGCAGAATTGGCGAGTTGTGACAGTTGTGAAAAGTCTAAAGTATTTATTATCTTGCCTTTTACAGAAAAAGTTTGCTGATCTCTAGATTGTGAATAAATAGAAATAAGACATTGTTTCTTATCTTTAAGGAGCTCATAGTCTAGTTGAAGAAAACTAGGGCAGAGAAAAATGTTTAGTAGTTCTTAGTTAACTGATGTTTTCTGAAAGAACAGTTACTCAGTGTGTGCACGTGCATATGTGAATGCCTTTGTGAAATGACTCCTTTCCCCATTAAAAAAATTAGAGAAACTGGTTCATAATGGAGTTGAGAACACATGGAAATGGTCTAAGTGTGATTGTTCATCTGAGACAGTCTTAAAGCTTACAGAGAGACTTCTAACCTGTAGCTTCCTCCCTTTTAGTAATACTAGAAGTCATATACTTCGTTGCCTTTCAGATGCGGTGGTGCTAGAATATGTTATATTTTCCATGAGACTTTTGGGCGAACCTTAGAATCTGTTGACCCACTAGGTGGCCTTAACACTATTGACATTTTGACTGCCATTAGAAATGCAACTGTGAGTATGCTTAACCTTTAGAATTTTTTGAAATGAGGTTAAAGATTATTTTTTAATTCATATAACTCATCTTTTTTTAATGAATTATACACTTTGTTATTTGCTCTCATTCTTGAAATTACGAAGTGCTTTTTTATGAAAAATACAAAAACGTGATTTATTTTAAACTTAGGGAAGAACCAAAATTATATGTGGCTATAATAAGAGCTCATAGTTTTATTTTTTTAGGGTCCACGTCCTGCTTTGTTTGTGCCTGAAGTTTCATTTGAGTTACTGGTCAAACGGCAAATCAAACGTCTGGAAGAGCCCAGCCTCCGTTGTGTGGAACTGGTTCATGAAGAAATGCAAAGGATCATTCAGCACTGTAGCAATTACAGTACACAGGTAATTGAGAAATGTAACAGGTTTCAGATTAAGTAGTAAAAGACATGAGGTGGTGGTTTCAAGGGGAAGGAGGAAATATAGAAGATGGGCTGAAAGTTAAAATGTAGTTCCCTTATCTAAAAGTGACTTGAAATAGTATAGTTAAATGTAGCTTCCAAATCTGATTCAGTACTTCAGTGATTATTTAATTTTCCTTTAAACAAAACAGACTGTTTCTTCCACCACATATAGGAGTTGTTGCGGTTCCCTAAACTTCATGATGCCATAGTTGAAGTAGTGACTTGTCTTCTTCGTAAACGGTTGCCTGTTACAAATGAAATGGTGAGGTATTATTTCATAAATCATTGTAATCACTGTTAATAAGTTATTTTGTACAGCTTTATGAATTTAGGCATAATGATTCCCAGTGTATTGAAAAGAAAAAGAAGCGAGTTTGTCTTATTTCAAAGGAAACTTCAGTAATTCTGGTTATAAAATGCATTTTTCTTCATATTTTAATCATTGTTAGCCTGCAGCCACAGATTTTCCTGAAAATGGAGTTATTGTTGAGGATTGTGAGTAGTTTTGCTTTATTATATAGCAGCACTGATTTAATGGAAAGTTAGTTTTCTCTTTAGCCTCAGTAAACTGAGCCTTCATATAGCAAGCTCTTTTTTTTTTTTTTTAACTCTGATGTACATCAGGGTAATTTGGCCATTTGTACAGTTTCCTTGTTTGATGACCTAATACCATAATATCATGGTTGCTATCCTTCAAAATAAAAATCCTGAAATTGGCAGAAATATGGAATTAAGAATTTGAAATTGTCCGTATGCCTCTAATTGTTGGCTGGTTTCTTTTTTTCCTTTCTGGTCTCTAAAAGTGCATTTGGGTCTTTGGCTCCAGATGGTGAGCCCCAATGGACATTTACTTAAAGAGTACAAAACCATCCTTGGAAGTATAGAATGTAAGTGCTGCTGCTTAGTTGTTTCCCTAGCAAGCATAACCACCAGATTGAAATGAGTAAGAACATGGTTAGCCTGATCTCAGACTCTACCTACTGATATCAGAATCATTGGAATTTCATTTAAATAAATAATTTTCACTGGTTCTTGATCTTTTAGTGCTGTTCTGATACCTAACATTTGTAAGGACAGTGCAAATGAAGGAGTTAGTTTAATCTCTCTACAACGCTAGAGAAATTAATTTCAACTTTCCTTTTTGATTATTGTCCCAGTTGTCCCAATTGAACCACATATATTTAAACTAGGTGCTTCATAATTAAGGCTAATCAATCATTATCTCAGGTCGTTAAATGTATCCTTTACCCAAATAAAGTTAACATCTTTAACTTACATCTGATTATGAAATGTTTTCTTATTGTTGAACCTGAACTTTTGACATGGAATAGTGGATGATCTAAGGTTTTAATAGCAAAGTTGCTTGGAAGTTAGATATGCATCAGGTAGATAACTTTTTTTTTCCCTAACAAATACTTCTAACTACTTCAGTGTCAGAAATGCAATCTTAGATGCTAAAATATAGATAATTCAAAAGATAGAGCAAATTGTTATTTGGTATAAACTCTGTCAGTTGGAGTATAATTATCAAGTATTTATTTAGGCATCAGTTTCCTGTACTGTCTTTTAGAATTATCTGTTTAATAAGTTTATATGTTTCCTTAAGTAAAATTAGGTTGGCATATTTTGTATATAGCCTAATTTTATTATTTTCTAGGTCCATAACTTAGTGGCAATTGAATTGGCTTATATCAACACAAAACATCCAGACTTTGCTGATGCTTGTGGGTTAATGAACAATAATATAGAGGTAAATACAATTCAAATTTGTCTTTTTTGAGAGAGAAAATCTGTTTTAGCTCAGTTATATCAAATTTACTGGGCAAGGAATAACTATAAGACATATATGCACCATATTATTGTCTGTTATATGCTAAGAAGTATGCTGAGGGCATTACATTGTTTTCTTAAATTTAATGCTCAAAACCACCTGGAGGCATTGTTCTCATTTTCTGCTTGTGAAACTGTAACTCAGAAATGATCTGGGACTCATTGTTTTAGTGTTGAAGGACTGCCTGGCTCCCATTTCAGTAACTATTGTTGCAGTTTATTAGACTGAAGTATGTAAAACAAAGTGGATGTTGTTTTGTTGTTGTTGTTTTTTTGTGGTACGTGGGCCGCTCACTGTTGTGGCCTCTCCCGTTGCGAGCACAGGCTCTGGACGCGCAGGCTCAGCGGAAACGGCTCACGGGCCCAGCCGCTCCGCGGCATGTGGGATCTTCCCAGACTGGGGCACGAACCCGTGTCCCCTGCATCGGCAGGCGGACTCTCAACCACTGCGCCACCAGGGAAGCCCAAAGTGGATGTTTAAAATTGTTTTCATTTGACTCTGAAAGCTGTGAAGGAAACATTCCAAGAATTACCTAAATTATAGTAAATTTGGAAAGACAGTACTGTTTCACCATTACTGTGGTTTCTGCATTTCATGGATCCTTTCTTTTTTTTTCCATTTGAGGCTAACGTTGTAGGTTGCATAATAGCTCAGATGGAGCGAAGGCTGGTGGATAGAGTGATTTATCTGGATGCAGTTTTTTCTCTGCCACTTTTATCCAAAACAGTAAAATTTTCTGCAGTTCCGTAGTCCAGTAAGACCTGAGTCCCTTCTGTATCAAATTTCCTCTTATGCATATGGGTGGGGAGAATATTGTAAACGTGGAATTTGGGAACTGGAAGGGACCCTTTTGTTAAACAGATGAGGAACCTGAGATCCACAGATGATAACAGCTGTTACTTTAGTGCTTATTTTGCTGGGCATCTTCTCTTTAACAGGTACAGGGAACTGTTTTTTAGCTACATAGTTGAGGTGACTCCTATTGTCAGAAAAAATTCCAGGGAATTGCCATGGCCCAGGTTCAGTCTCTGGCTGGGGAACTAAGATCTTGCAAGCTGTGTGGCATGGCCAGAAAAAAGAAGAAAGAAAAAAATTCCAAAATGCATATAAGTAAGGCACTTTAAAACACTCAGAAAGTGGACTAGATAATAGTTATTATGTTAAAAATTAGCATGCAGACACTATCTTAAGATAGGAGTTAGTTCTTGTAACATTGAAGCCTTCATGGAAAATTTGTGTCTGGAACAGTTTTTCTAATACTGACAAGGTCATTTATGATATGATTTCAGATCAGTATTTTTCTTACAAATGAATGTCTCTGGTTTTAAGACTATGTGTCAAAGAACTTTATGTGGATATTCTCATTTAATCTTTATAGCAACCTTATGAGGGTAATGTTAATAGATTAGGAAACCAGGGGTTAAGAGTTGGTAACCCATACAGTTAACAAAGCAAGTAAGCCATGTCTCCAGGGCCAGCTAATGTCATAAATGGTTGGTAACAGACTAGGGTGAGAATTTCTAGTCTCTAGATTCCTCTGCCTTTTGCTTTGTGTCCTTCTTCAAAATGTATATTTAAATGCTAATTTTTTTTTCCGGAGGATTGTTAAAATCCATATATTTTTATTATCTGCTCTATTTTTTATCACTGGATAAATGAAAAGTGGGTAAAATTTCTGTTAAAAAATTTTCTTACCCAGAAACATCATTGTGAAGCTTTGTTAATTTACACCTTTTTGCAAGTTTGAGTATTCATGAAATGCTTTCTGCTCAGGAGCATTTTGACTTCATTTAATGTAAATACTTTCCTACTGTATTTGATGCTGCCTGAAGAGCCACTATTGGCTCTTGAGAGAGCCACTATTAATCCTACATCCTTCTATATTTTCATAGTCTTGCACCTATCATGGTGCTTGACATACAGTAGGTGTTCAGTACCTATTAATTTGAATTTACAGTTGCTTTAGCTCAGTATCAGAATTACATTGCTAATATTAGCAGATTAGAAGAGTGGGCAGGTGATCAGTCTGTTAAATTAGCCAGGTTACAGAAAGGACTGTCAGTTTTCAACATTACATTTATTTCCTGGAGATAGTTAAGGATAAAGAAAACAGAACACTCTTATAGATATTTCTTATGGTTTCGTGTGTGAATTTAACACAAACGTGTGCAGGTTAGAATGATTTTTAAAGGTTTTGCTTAATTTTTCTGTGATCTGTGTACTTCAAATTCTATATGGTATGCTGAAGGCTTGTGTACACTTTGATGTGGGAACACTTTAAATCAGTGATTCTTAACTTGGTGGGAAAGGCAGAGATGATGTTGGTCCGCTTGAGAACCCCTGGTACAGGAAGCCAATGTTACTGACGTATTATATCCCTCAGGTGTGTTGGGGCAGAAAAAAAGATTGAGAAGCATTGGGTTAAAATGATTTCTTGTTTGTTTTAAAATATAATTATGGCATGAGTCCCAACATTGAGAGGATATACTGTAAGTTATTCACACTTTTCAATTAAGCTGAACATTTTTTTAAAGTAGGCTCACATCTCTGTGTTCTGATAATCATGAATCTTCTGCTTGGTTGTGTTTTATAGGAACAAAGGAGAAACAGGCTAGCAAGAGAATTACCTTCAGCTGTATCACGAGACAAGGTAAAAAATGTTTTTAAAGCATATTCCCAATATGCAAAGATGGACTGGTAAGCCTCAGAATATTACTCAGTTCTAGGAGTAATTTTTTCTTCTCACTTTAATATTCCATTGGCGCTATTTCATTGTTTGAGTAAAGGTATGCAAGTTTAAAAATAGGCTTTGAGTAATTTAAAGATAAAATATTTTGAATACATAGGAATAAATGCTTAAAGGTGGATTTTAAATATCAAGCCTTTAACAGAAATTCAATGACTTTATCAACTTTGTAAAATTAGTTGAAATGACTAATGACTTTATTATAACAAGAAGGTTTTTTTGGAGAGGGAAGATGACATTATGTACATACCAGGTTTTAGTTACCTGTAATAGTTGCAGATATTAAAATTTTTGTGTAAAAATCTGTTACCTTGAATTCTTTACCAGAAAAGATCTTATCAACTTCCAAAAATCAAAATGAAGTTTTTGGATTTGGATTTTTCTTAGGAATTCATCTGAAGAAAGCCTTAAACAAAGGTGACAATAGTACAGGAAATAAGGCAAAATAAACATTAATTTTATGTCCCATTACTTTTGTTTTTCATGTTACTATACAGAGGGGAAAATTCATATTTATAGAATGTTTCTGAATGCATTTTTGGCATCCTTGATTTTTTTTTTTCCCTGCATTTTTTGCCTTTAGTCTTCTAAAGTTCCAAGTGCTTTGGCACCTGCCTCCCAGGAGCCCTCCCCTGCTGCTTCTGCTGAGGCTGATGGCAAGGTCTGTTCTGATTCTTAATCTAAGCCTGCATGCCTAGTTTGGTGCAACATAATCATCTGGAAACAATACACTGAACAGCAGAATATTAATATGAGATATTGTGCTAAGGTCAAATTTTAGTCTAATAGAAATTTAAAATCATTTAACAATGATGTATACTTCATAAAATAAATTATTGTTGACATGCTTTTGCTTGCAATATAGACGATGCACACAGAAAAAGAATTTAAAGAGGAAATTTTCAAGCCATTGGTATTTAAATTTTGCTTGTTAAACTGCATGTTTTAACGTATCTTTTAACAGTTAATTCAGGACAGCAGAAGAGAAACTAAAAATGTGAGTCTTGCTTCAGAATGAAAACGTTGGTACCTTTGGTTCTCACCAAAACATTGTCTTCAAAACCACTGAAGAACTTGTTTGTAACAGTGGCATCTATCTCTTGTTGTCTGTGTTATGTTTTTAATGTTTCTCTTATCTAACTAACTTCTAAGATGGTAATAATTCTAGTTTCAACATTGTTTTAAATAATAACAACAGCCTTTCCCACTGTTTTCTATTACCTTCAAGAATAGTGTTGAATTTAATATTTTGGTAGGGAATTAAAATTCTGGAGATGGAAACTGTACTTTTGGACTTTTCCTCTTTAAAGGTTCTGAGATCTGTCCAGTGCTAATGGAGAATCCTCTAAGGCTTCTTTCTTATGCTTTCATTCAGTTTGCTCTTTTTACCCTAAATATATTTAGTAGTTTAACAGGTGCCTCAACAGCTTAAGCAAATTCAGAACAAACAGGGGGACTGTGAGAGTTTGAGACTGTTGCCAATTCTTGATAACCTTTAAAAAAATTAATCTGTAAGTTATTCAGATCCATTCTTATTTTTAGCTTTTTTTTTTGCCATTTAGCTCCTTTCCTTACTTATTGTCCAGGTTTAAGATTCTGAACCTCAAATAAAACCTTATAAATGTCTTATCTTCTCTCAGCCCACTGTGCTAAGGTCTAAGAGAACCATCTGAATCATTGCTTTTTATTTAACTCCTGGTATCACTCTGAATTTGCTCACTTTCCTTAAGATTTCATATGATCTATCATTCACGTATAGTTAACACGCATTTAAAAATACACTCATTTTAAAAGTAATGTATAAACATACTACTTGTATATTGATATACATTATCTTAACTACATTTTAGAGACAAATTTTGTCCAGTGTTTTGATTCAGAATGATACCCAAAACATTTTTTAACAATTGCTGTAACACTCCTTTGTTAAATTTATATAAGCCATTTTTATTTCTATCTATAATTCTGGATGCCATTTTATCTCCATTTTAGATTGTAAAATCTTAAAGAACATCTAAAAACATTTCTTAAATGTTGATGAATTACTGTTTTCCTCATTATCCTTAACAGTTATTTTTCTTTTAGAAATCAAGACTAACAGATATCCTAAAAAAGAAGGTGCAAGAGCACTTGTGATTAATGGTAGCACTAGATTTTTTTCAGTAGATCCTTTCTCAAGTAAAGCATTTCTACTTTTATCCTATGGTATTGACTATTAGCAACATAAACTGATTTGAGAAATACATAAAGTCTTAAGTTTTGGAGAATGAGTTCATTGAACTTTCAGAGAGATCATAGTTCAACAGTGTTTAAAGTTACTTCAAAGAAATAATGTGAATAGCAGTTCTGGTTTTTCTTGTGCTTTTAATGAGCATTCCTGTTTTAAAGGGCAGCTTCTACATTTTCCACAATCTCTAGTGTTAGAGGAGTTGGAGAAGAGGAAAAATTTTGAGAAGTTAGCAAATAATAAAAAAGGAATTTAAAATATACTGGCTGAGGCCTTGCAAACAGTTTACAACAGAACCTCTTATTTATTTATTTATAAACCACAGTGTTACTTCTGCCATTCTTTATTTTCTTTACAAATACACTTTTTTGGGGCTGTGTTGTGTCTTCGTTGCTGCATGTGGGCTTTCTCTAGTTGCGGCGAGTGGGGCTACTCTTCGTTGCCGTGCATGGGCTTCTCACTGTGGTGGCTTCTCTTTGTTGTGGAGCACAGGCTCTAGGCATCATGGGCTTCAGTAGTTGTGGCACGAGGTCTCAGTAGTTGTGGCTTGCAGGCTCTAGAGCTCAGGCTCAGTAGTTGTGGCGCACAGGCATAGTTGCTTCACGGCATGTGGGATCTTCCTGGACCAGGGCTCGAACCCGTGTCCCTTGCATTGGCAGGTGGATTATTAACCATTGCACCACCAGGGAAGTCCAAACCTCTTATTTAGACAGCTCAGGGTTCCAGTTATACATGCCACCCATCATCTCTTTCTGACCCTGCCATCTCTCTGAATAGATTAAACTCCAGGTGGTTACTGGATGTGTATTCTCCTTGACTGCTGTCAAAGGAAATTAACTTTGTTTAGTTAGTATCAGTTTGATATGGTTGGTATAGGTTTTGGAATATGTTTTTTCAGGTTGCATCTGGAGGTGGTGGGGTTGGAGATGGTGTTCAAGAACCAACAACAGGCAACTGGAGAGGAATGCTGAAAACTTCAAAAGCTGAGGAGTTACTAGCTGAGGAAAAATCAAAACCAATTCCAATTATGCCAGCCAGTCCACAAAAAGGTCATGCTGTGAATTTGCTGGATGTGGTAAGCTGCAGAATTTGCTTGAGGACAAATAACCAAATTACCAGGAAAACACTTTAAAAGACAAAAGGAACTGAAGTCTCAAAAACTTATTGAATGTTACATGTTGTCATTTCAAAATGGCACAAAAGTAACTTTTTTCTCCCCCTCACCCCATTTAGCCAGTACCTGTTGCACGAAAACTATCTGCCCGTGAACAGAGAGACTGTGAAGTTATTGAACGACTCATCAAATCTTATTTTCTTATTGTCAGAAAGAATATTCAGGACAGGTTAGTACTGTCATATAAATCAGACTAGAATACTGCGAGATGATTTCATAATCTGTTTTGAAAATACAAATATTTTAAAAAACTTGTTTTTATTCTAAATCAAATGGATTATCTGATTGTTTTGCAGTGTGCCAAAGGCAGTAATGCATTTTTTGGTTAATCATGTAAAGGATACTCTTCAGAGTGAGTTAGTAGGACAGCTGTATAAATCATCCTTATTGGATGATCTTCTGACTGAATCCGAGGACATGGCACAGCGCAGGAAAGAAGCAGCTGATATGCTAAAGGTAATTACTGTGAATTTTTTTGAATTTTCTTACTTGGGTTGTAGGTATAACATTCATTGTTTAAAATGCATTCTGATCCTTGGAGATACATATATATAGTCTTTGTATGATGGCTAATCTTTTTTTCTGTTGGCACTTGATTAGATTCAAATTTCAGAGAAGATACTGGTTAGTATAAATCAACCACATATAAAGTGGAGAGGTTATCCCACATTAATTCAGATTCTTTCTTTGATATTCCTTGTAATTATAACTTAAGCATTTATAATTTTTATAATTTTCTTTAATGCAGGCATTACAAGGAGCCAGTCAAATTATTGCTGAAATCCGAGAGACTCATCTTTGGTGAAGAGAACTATGTAATACTGAGACTTCACTGACTTGCTAGTTACTGCCTACTTGAGTAGAATTTTATTTATGAACTCCTGTGTATTGCAATGGTATGAATCTGCTCATGTGAAGACTGGCTATAAACTGAAAATTACACTCTGTATTGCAGAACGAATCACACATTTAATCCAAATAATAAATGGCTGTTTCTAAAATTTCCTAGTATATATAAAATACATCGTCTTGTGACAGTTTCATCTGAACTTAAAAAGAACTGTTAATAGTTCTAGTTGTGCAAGCAGTTTGTCTGTGGATAAGATGACCTGTGTAATCTGCTAGTAGTCTTAAAGCTGCTGCCATAGCCCTTCAAGAAGAATGCACCAAGACACCATGTCATACGACTATAATGCATGCACTATTATTTAAACCGAACTGGCTTTGAAAGAGGTGGGTTGACAAGTTACTCAGTAGTCAGTCACTATTCCACCTGTTATTTCTTTGATTTAGTTTTATTGAGCTTCTCTGAAACCTTTGATGTGTTTGTAAGAAAGCTGAACACATGAGAGGATCTGTAACATTGACAATGATGTGATGTGCATAATGTGTAGCTACAGTCCTTCCACTTCTGGATGCACATTCCCCTGGTGTGTTAAAAATTACAATATCTTTGATCTTGCTTAAACCTGGAAGCATGAGTTATGTTTTCCTGCATTAAGAACATCTAGCCTTGATTATCTAGTAAGACTTGGTAATGACCATCTTTCCTTTTAGTTTTCAGAAGTCCTAATAAATTCCCCTTGGTTTTCAAATATAATAGTAATAACTCAGATACATTTTTAAATTGGAGCCCTCAGACCATGCTTCAAGATTCACTTGGAGGTGGGACTTAAAACCAAATACTGTGGTGATTTTAAGTGTATCTTCTTCCTATTAGTTGTTAATAGTTACTTTTGCTTCACACCAACAAAGTACTTTAGAATAGAAAGTAATGGTGGGGCTTTATTATTTAAGGGAAAACATCCTGACACACACACACACACTCCTAAAGGCTTTCAGGGGTTGGGAGTAAGGTTTAGAACATATACACATTTTACCAAAATTCCCCAGGTGATTCTTGATATGAATTACATTATAAGTTTTAAAATGATAAATTACATATTACAGATATTAAAGTCTATTTTTAAGTTACGACATTTATGAAGGACTCCTGGCAGGAACATATGAATATGTCTGTTACTCTTGGCTAATGGCACCCGTTTACTAAGAGACAAGAGACTCAGCAACTGATCTCAAACATAAAGAAAGATTCAGTCTGATATGATATGGTACTACTTATACTTAGCAGTACCATCTTCATAGGATACATGCTTCCAGAATGTTTATTAGCATACTTTAAAATCACTCTGCCATTATTAAACATCAGTTTTGAAATTATAGCCATCCATGATTTACTTATTTCAGATAGATCAGATGACTTCCATTCTAGTCTAGCTTTTTTAATTTGTAAGGGGGGAAGAAAACTTACAATGCACCTTTCTCCAGCAAATTTCAAATTGAAAACATTACCTGCTATGATAATGCACTTGCTAATACTATATACCGTGTACAAGGAAAAACAGAGACAAGAGGTATGCAAAGAGAAAACCACCTTTTGTTGACACTTAAACTGAGTAAAGTTCTGAAATGCAGAGATGATCTCTGACATTTATAATGGATACCTGTATGTTCTTACTATGTAAATAAACTTGCTGGTATGAAGTGACATTAAAGTTTGTCAATAAATGAATTCTTCCTAACTTTACTCCCAGAAGAAGGTTTAGATAAACTATAGCTTTTTTAATATATAAATCTACTCTGGAACATAGCAATACAGCTTATACTGTATGAAAGTTTTATGACTTTCTTCTTTTTAGATTTTCATAATTGACTGAGGTATTATTACATCTCCATTTTTTGCATATGAAGATAATGACTTGCTCCAAGTAATCCAGGTAGTAAATAGCTAGAATTTGAACTCTAAAGCATGCTTTGCTGCCTGTAAGATTTTTCTAGAACACATCTGATTGCAAACCATTTTCTGTGTATGTTTGTGCTTCACCTGATGCTCAGGGGAAATAGGGGTGCTATTACCTTCGATATTTCAGATGTTGGAAATAGTTCTGGAGAATCAACTTGCCTAAAGAATGTAGAGCTTAATTTAACTAAGTCTTGATTCCAAATCCTTTAAATTTGACCTGAAAACTTCCCTTACTGGAATGTCTTTTGATATTCTCAAATGATTAGATATTTAGTATATATATTTTGCCTCTATTTTATCTTGTTGGTTACTTAACTTTTCAGTTCATCTCAAGCTGCAGTCTGCTTGGGGACATAAGTTGAAACTTAAAACTAATTTAAAAGTTGATAAATTTATAAGACATTGCTACCTTTTTTTACTGAATTTTAGAAAACAAGGCTATGAGTAAATTTAATTTTATGGAAACACAGTCAAGGGACTGGAAAACTGAATTAGAAACTTTCTGAAAAGTCAAGTACTGACTTTTCTTTTCTTTGAAAAGAAACTATTTCTACTGTAATTTCTAATGCCAGCTGTGGCTTCCTCTAACTTGTCTCCCTTTTTATGGAGAGCTGTATTTGCTTCCTAAACAACAAAAAACCTCTAATGAGATACACACCTGATATAAAAGTATCCACAATTACTTATACTACCTCTTTTTCATTGTTCCTCCTCATCTCCAAAACAGCAAGGACAGGATAGGAAAGACAGTATTTAGTTTTTCATGAAGCATAATTATTAAAATAGAGATTAACCCTAGAAATCATGCTTTTCTGTGGTAGTCCTTAATGTTTAAGGATCAGGAAATAAAATATCCCACTATTACACAAACTTAACCAACCTATACAAATAATGAAATTACTCACACTGTGAGGCCTAGAGTACACTCCATTCTTTGTCTTTGAGTTGCATAAGTGAAGGTATAAATTCGTACATCTTGAGAATGAGTGATGGATAAGTTTGAACGACTGGAAGTTTTCATCATAGCTGAAGCCATTTTATAATGTAGAAGTTCCTTTTTCCTATTTTAAGTAACGAAAGTCCATTCTTAAGAATATGTTGTCCAACAACTAAAACACTCTCAGGATTTGTTACTTGTCTGTGATTTATACTGACTCCACCTTCTGTTATCATCCGATACCTGAAAAATAAAAATGTTCAGTAACTAGATAAATCTAATCACTGTTGGCCACTCCCAATAATACAGATACATCATTATTTCATTTAAATTTCAAAGGCTCTCCTACTGAAACCATTTAGCACTGAATTGTTATCTTCATGTTTATTAGATTCTGCCTCCCCTTTAACGTTCTAAAGGAGAAATTCAATTAATATTTTAAATAGGTTGGGCAACCCCACTACTCCCCAGAATAAAGAGGATACAGACTGAATGTGAGAGGGGTGTGTTTACTTAGGGCCTCTGTTTACTTAGGGCCTCTGTTCTTGTGATCTTCTCAAATTGTGACCATCCCTAAGCTGACTGATCCCAGTGTATTTATACAATAGTGGTCACTTAAACGTAAGCCTTTTCCAATGCTGGAGAAAAAACTGACCAGGTTAGACTAATCAGAGTATAATAATACTAGATTTTAAAGAAAATTTAAGGTATTTTCAGCAGTAAGTACTCAGTTTTCATTTGATTCTCAGACTAACTTAACTTCTACAAGGAATGAGATGCCATTGTCAGGAAAAACACCACCTCTAGAAACACAGGTTGTGAATTGTAACTATGAACCTAAAAGTTAAACAATCTTACCCTCGGGGACCACCTGGAATGGCATTTGCTTTGCGGCACGTATCTAGGACACTTGTTCCAGGGTCAAGAACTAATTCAGAAAATGAAGCTTCTTTAAATAATTCTTTTAACTCTTGATCAGACATGACCTCCAGTGCCTCTATGCTGCTATGATAAAGGGCTTGTGTACACCTGAAAAACACATTTTGAGAGCCACATCATGTTGAGTGCTTACTTAGACATGTGTTCTAACATCCAAAAACCAGTTATGAAGTACGCATTATGTTCCAGATGGAAAGTTTTTCAAACAGCAACACTGATTTTGTATAATTTGTAAGCTTAATTCAGGATAATCTTTCTTTCTAGTAAATGTAGGCCAGTACTTTAAAGCAGTTAACGCTGACAGTCCTTGTTAGTGGTAAAAGATGACTCTAAAACATTGGCTCCAAATGTTCTCCAGTCTCTTAACTAATTAATCAAGTGTTCATTATTCTAAGAGGCCACCTTTTAGCAGAGTCCAGCCCTTCTTGTCCATGAACAAGCTTTGTTACTTCTGTAGCAAGTCGTTTCTGAGGACACCGCTTTTCTGGCTCTTTGACATGCAGCTGCATTATGTGGTCAATCTCTGGAAGGGGCAGAAAAGTGAAGAGCTTCAGGTACCTTTGGGACAAAAAAGAAAATCCTATTAGATTTATATAACATACCTAATTTTTATCTCCAGCTCCCTTACCCTTTAAAGAACATCCTGCTTACTTTAGAACTTATTTTTAATTATGAAATATAACACAGAAATGTACAGAAAATGACAATAATACACACACCACCCTGACTGAAGATGTTACTATTTTGCCATCTTTGTTTCAAACCCTTCCTTTTTAAAAAAGTCATAAAATAGTATAGATATAGATGAGGGCCCCATCCACCTCAGATATATTCTTCTTGCCCCAGAGACAACCACTAATCTAAATTTGTAGGCATCCTTCCCAAGCATGTTTTTATATTTTTGTTTTCTGTGTATGTACTCATAAATAAAACCTGTGTAATTTAAAAACTGAAATATTTTATATGTATCATCTTTTAAAATCTTATCTTTGGTGAAAAGCATAGAGAAATACACAAACAACAGACATAGTTTAATGAATCATAAAGCAAACAGCTGTGTAACTATCACCTGTCTAGGTATACAACACTGCTCCTACCCAAATCCCCTCACCCCTCCAAGGTAACCACTCTTTGGACTTTTCATGGTAATTACTTCCTTGTTTTTATATTTTTACCATCTCAATATGCCTCCCTAAACAGCATCACTTAGTTTTGCCTCTTTTTAGACTTTATATAAACAGAATCATACAGAATATATATTTTTTGGTTACTCTGGCACATCATTATGTTGGTGATTCACCCATGTTGCTGTGTGTACAGTTGCTGAGTACACATTCCTGTTATGAATGCTTTGTAATGTATTTATTCTAGTGTGGATATTTGTGTTGTTTCTACTCTTGGACAGTGGTTGATGGTGTGCACATGTGCACTCATCTGTTAGGGATGTGCCCAGGGGGAGGGACTGCTGGTCACAAGTCATGAGTATCTGACCTGAGTAGAGCCACATATTTTTCCAAGTGGTTCTATACCTCTAATGTAAGTGCTTGACATTAAGCTTTTGATTGCTTAATGCCAAGGTATCCATTTCAAAGACATCAATCTCGAATAAGCATACTGCCAAATGTATGACACAGCTAGTACCAAACCAACCAGATAAGGAACCAGGCTGCCGCCACTCATGAAAGTCCCCTTTCAGAAAGCCCTGGGTAGCTGAGATAACTGCTTGAGTGACCCCTCTTCACCTTTCCCACTCCCTAATTCTCACTCTACGTTTTAAATTAGCCAGTGAAGAGTGAACCTGTGAAATCCTAGGCACCCCAATAAGGTCAGCTCCGGGCCCATGCTCCCTCCTTCCCCATCCTTAACTCACTGTGTGGCCCCTGTAGTGCCATGTGCCCTTCAGAAACTGTAAGTAACAAATCTTTTTTTAAAGTTCCCTGATGATTATTGTTGAGCTGTCTCTTACAATCATAAGGACCACAGCACTGGTCCAGCCACAAGGTTGGCTCTGGCCCAGGAAATGTCTGTGAGGTATCCATCCCCAAACGTCACTGCTGCCATAATTCAGTGATCTCCGCAGAGCAGTGTGATCAGTGATCAAGGCCATATGGTCTAATGAGATGATAGACCACAAATTATACAGACCTTGATTGAGTACTAATGTACATGAAGGTCCTCCACATCTCAAGGCCAAGGAAAGCTAATGAGGGTGGAATGGACCCCAAGGCTATTATCACTGCCCAAGCTGAGGCTCTGAGCTAAAGGCAAGAGGATAATTCCCATAGGTAAGACGGAGGGAGACCTCCCCCTGGGACTGGTGGGTCATAATGGGATTACACTTCCTAACCTGGACGAATGGAACAGCCTTGTAACAGGAAACTATTGGCAGAGCAAAAGGGGAAATACAGTCAAGGCTTGCTGTCACTCTTTGTCCCCCAAACTCGATGGGATATCGTGGGTCCAGTACCTGGTATGATGTTGCTAAACAATGGACAAATATAAATGTCCTGAACATCTTGTGCCAATGCCTCGTAAAACCCCTGAGGAGGTACACCAGCTCCTTGATAATACAGAACCCCTATGGATGCTTCCTGGGTGTTGCTTAGTGTTGCTGAATACCAATATTCCAAGGCTCACAGTGAATGGAAAACATGAGATTAGGCCTGTCTCCTGCTGTGCAAAAGTGGCATGGTCCAGTGGGTTTACCACTTCTGTGACCAGACTCACTCAAGTGACTCCCCTCTTCTAACCCTGAAGAAGTCCCATTTGACTGTGAGTCCAGAGAATTCTTTTTACAAAGTGCTCCCTCTAATCACGGGGTAGTGCTCCTACATCTTACTGGGACTGTCAAAACCATTCAAAAGGCACTGGAGAGCACTGACAGTGTTCCTATGGAGGAAATTACTCATTAAACCACCACTGTACTCAGATATAACAGGTACCAGGCCTTTTCATGTTCTGGAGGCAACGCCCTCACCGCTCACTAATTCTTTGCCACAATCACAATCACATGCAAGTCTGCCACCTTCCACTGGGGCGAGGCACAACAATGTGTTTTGGAAGCTGCCCAGCAGGCAGTCCAACGAGCCCTACCTTTAGTCCCACCTGGCTCCACATTAAGTCAGTGCTTGACCATATCTGACTATGCCCCCTTGGAGTCTCTGGACCAAACATAAGTCTACCTGATTTCCTATGGGGTTTTGGATTAAGTGCCTAACCCCAAAGGATTCTACTGGGTTCTTTTAGAAACTGAGGCCCTAACTGGCCCCCAATCAATACTACTCCCTAACACCCTGGGTTAGAGATGCCTCTGGCAGAAGCTTAACACCACAACTGATGCCTCCTTGGTAAAATGAAAATGGTACCTTCAGGAGAGGGCTAACCTTGATGTCAAAGCCTTTAAAAATTACAGAAGGGGGCTTCCCTGGTGGCACAGTGGTTAAGAATCCACCTGCCAATGCAGGGGACACGGGTTTGAGCCCTGGTCTGGGAAGATCCCACATGCCAGGGAGCAGCTAAGCCCGTGCACCACAACTACTGAGACTGCGCTCTAGAGCCTGGGAGCCACAACTACTGAGCCCACGTGCCACAACTACTGAAGCCCGTGCGCCTAGAGCCCGTGCTCCACAACAAGAGAAGCCACCACAATGAGAAGCCCATGCACCGCAATGAAGAGTATCCCCCGCTCGCCACAACTACAGAAAGCCCATGCACAGCAATAAAGACCCAACACAGCCAAAAATAAATAAAAAGTAGGGAAAACTATATTATGATTCAGAGTTATAATTATATATCTGAAAAATAAAAAAAAAAATTATAGGAGGGTGTAGCTTCCCTCATGATCAGCTCCTTCCTCTTCTGGCTGCTTGGGGAGCCCCTTGGGACCAACTGTCTGAGATGGACAGGGAATCCATATTCTTCACCAATGGCAGCACCACCATGTATGCACTGCAGCTTGCTGGAGGGCTGTAGCATTCCCCCGGTCTCAGGCACCTCTCTAATTGAAGAAGGCAGTCCCGGCTCAGCCCCATTGGCAGGACTTGTAGCTGTTCACTTAGCCCTTAGGGAGCCATAAAGAGGCCTTTGGCAGATCCATATTTTCACAGACTCCTGGGTTATTGCTAATGGCCTCACGGTTTGGTCTGGCCAATGGCTAAGGGACAATTTTCTCATATAAGACAAGCCCATCTGGCCCAGACATGGAAGGAGTCCCCAATTCCTATCATTGTTACTTATGTTTCTGCTCAGACTACCTGCTCTATGCTGGAAGCCATTTTCAACAGTACTGCAGATTCCCTCACTAAGCCACCACACTGCCCAGCACAGACCCTTCCTACCAGCTTGAAAAATGGGCCCACACAACCTTGGGTCACCAAGGAATTAATGCCTTAACAGCTTGGGCTTAATTGAGGGGACTTCCCATCTCCTCAGCAGCAGCCAAAGTTGTGATAGACGACTATTCTCTGCTCCCAAACCAAACAATGGAGGATATCCAGATGGGGACATATTCCCTGGGGTGACCAACCATGCTCCCACTGGCAGGCTGATTTCACTGGCCACTGCCCCCTTCTCCTGGGGCCTCCAGATACGCCTTCACAGTCATTAATACTTACACGAGACTCCTTTGGGCAACTCCCAAATCTCTTTCCTCACTAAGTTTATTCTTGTTCCCTTTGGATCGTCAGACATTACTGACTCTGACCCACTTTACCTCTCCAGAGATTAAACAAAGGGCTCTCCAACATAATATTCTTTGGAATTTCCATCTAGGCTATAGCCCCAGGCAGCTGGCCTCACTGAGCATCACTGGCCTCCTTAAAGAGACACTCCTGAAATTAGTTTCAGGCAAGTGGTCCCCCAAATGGACTGAACTCTCGCTCCAGGCCCTCATCTTGTTTAATTCTTGCCTCCTGGGCCTTCCTACCCTATATACCAACTGTTATGCACACATCCAAATCCCACTTTTGGTCACCTCTGGCAATCCTCAAGCGTTTAACCTCCAAGAGAACTCTCCATTCATGTAGAGTTCTTTATTTTTGCTCAATAGTGGTTTTCAATGTTCTGCAGGCAAGTATTATACATTTAAAACTTTTTAAGAATTATTCCTAAGTTATTTTGATGATAGTTATGTCAAATGATATGTTTTTGAAAAATTCACTCCTTTGTTACATGTGTATTTTTCATTAATTTATATTCTTCTAAGAGTTTAAGATATTGTGAATTAATAAGAAAATCACTTTAAAAAAGGACCTTCAAAAGGATCTTCTTTTATGTTAAAGAAAAGGAACTTTAGAGAAAAAGGTAAAATAAAAGTCAAGTTTAAGATGAAAGGAGTAAAAAACTAGAATATGCAAGCAATAATGTCCTAAGAACCTGCTAGATGTAGATCACAAACTTGGCTCTAAGTTTTCTAGCACCCACAGTGGTTTTCTGCTTTAACCAACAAAAAGTGTTTAACTACAATGTTCTGTGATGTACTAGCCTTAAATAGAATCTACGTTAAAACAAACAAAAAAACAAAAAAACTATGAAGGGTACAGAGAGATTCAATGGCTAAAATTTATCATGAGCTTTAATGAACTTAATTTTTCTCAGCACACAATTAAGAACTCACCTTTCTACCAAATCATCTTGCTGCCTGACAAAAAACTGATACAATTCAAAAGGAGATGTCTTATCTCTGTTTAGCCACACAGCGTTGCCAGCAGACTTTCCCAGTTTCGCTCCAGTTGTACTTGTAATTAGAGGAACAGAGATTCCAAATACATCTTCTCCAGTCAACCTATGCATAAAGGAGAACTTTATTATGTGCTTTAAGCTCAAGTGGTCGTAGGTTCTGCTAATCATTCTCAGATTTCAGTCTGGTTTCTTGCTCTAAGAAAACCTCCTTGACCTCCTAAACCTGGATTCTTGTCCATCTTACTGCTTTCACAGCACTCTATTTTGACATTTGTCATTCTGAGCTGCAATTGAACTAGTGACTATGGGCGAGCCAAGGGGAAGTGCTGCATAACTGGGGCCTAGACATTTTTTAAAGGTTGGGTAGGAAGGGGAGAGAAAACTGGGTAAAGAGGAGTCAGGTAGAGACACTAAAAGAGGTGTCTTAAAGGGATTTTAAAAATCAGTAGCACATGAGCTAGTCCTGTAGTTGATCTCCCTCAAGAAAGTGCCACTGAAATCTACATTATTCGCCAAATATTTGGTGCTGAAAAAAATTTTTTTGAGATGCCAACCAATGACTAACACTTAGCTTCACGGAAGGTGCAGAGCAAAGCAGAGACTACTCAAAGAGGCCCAGTCACGTTCAGGTTATAAATGAAGACAAGCAGTCTTTCAAATCAGAAACACAGAAAAAGCTTCTTAAAAGCAGCAAACACATACAATCCGAATCCTGACTAGGAGGGTCTATTTCTTGCAGAGCTATATAATATGTCCCATACCTAATACCATTACTTCAGCCCTTTAGTTCTCATTAGCCAGTGATATTAAATTAATCCCATTATGGACCCTTAATGGAGATAGAACCAACAAGGGCAGGAACGAAGGGGGTCATTCCACAATGCTAACAATGCAACACAGGTTATTCGTGTGTAAATTATTTGGTCTAGGATTTCTCCAGGTCTAAAGGCGCTTACTTATGGATGAACTCGTATCCGGACATGATATTGCCCAGCTGATCAGATCCACCCAGCTGGACCCGGCATCTATAATGCTGGAACAGGTAGTAGAAATCATAGGCCTGGAGCACCTGGTATAGAAACTCGGCCAAACTCATGCCTTCGGAGCTCTTGAGCCGAGTCTGCACGCTCAGCCGGCTTAGCAGCGTGCCCATGCGGAAATGGCCGCCCACTGCCGCTAGGAAGTCCACCAGGTCCTGCTTCTGGTACCACGCCGAGTTGTCTAGCACGGTGAAGCTGCCCCAGGTCCGCCCATTAGCGAAGAGCTGCTGGTGATTAGCTGCCAAGGTTTTGAGCCCTTGGCGCAGGGCGCGCGCGTTGCTTTGCACGCGCTCTGCTTCCAGCGCCTCGCGCTCCTTGGTACGGCCGCTTGGGTCTCCCAGGCGCGCCGTGGCGCCGCCCACCAGGGCGATCACGTTGTGGCCCGCTCGCTGGAAGTGAAACAGGCCCAACAGCGCCAGCAGATGCCCCACATGAAGCGAGTCGGCCGTGGGGTCGAAGCCGCAGTAGATGGTCTGGGGAAAACTGCCCGCCGTACCACGGTCGAAGAGCTCTGGGAGCTCTGTCTTCGTACCTCTCTCAGGGAAGAACTCCTTGAACAGACCCCGAGCCTTCTGCATCGCCAGGAACCCCTGAGCGCCCGAGTGGGCCTCACGCAGCCCCAGGGGTAAGACCCCTGACAGGCCTGGGGTACCAAGCCCCTGGCCACGGGAAATGCACCGCAAGATGGGCGCCGCCATGTTAGCGGCGGCACGAAGAGAATGCTGGGATCTTAGAGGCCCACCACACCCCTCAGTGCCCGCCTCCTACAATTCCTACGGAATTTACTTGTGCTTTTTTTCTGCGCATGCCCACGTAGGGCGGGGCGGTTAGTTACGGAGCTCCGCAGCCTTGGAGTTCTGACTACCTGGGTGCAGTTACCGGTTAAAGTCTGGTCACCTTAAGTACACTAAAACTTATTTCCTCATCTGTAACTTGGCTATGTTTATGATAATAGTTCCTATCTCAGATGGCTGTTGTGAGAATTAAGAAGGCACCTGGCACATACTGAGCGTTCTAAAATATTAGCTTTTGTTTAAACTTTCACGTAAAAATAAGTTGTGTTGCGCAAGTTGTTTGAAATCTCGGTCCTATGCAAAAATTTGTTCACAGAAGTTGTGAGGGGTCAGGAATTGGTTGAACCTCATGGAGAGATACGGGGTTGGCGTCGAGACGCAATTTCGTAATGCTGATTTCCAAATGGATGAGAACACCTCAGCCCCCAGTATTCATTAGCCTGTCCAGGAGGTGGCAGTCTTGTCCAAGCTATAACGAGATAAAATTCAATAAATGCAGAAAGCCCCGTTTTATTAATTTATTTCAATTACAAGTAACCAAGTGGGACACAGCTTTGGCATAAGTGGATTCAAATTAGTAATCACATTGGCACAGCAATAGCCAGGTGCTAACAGTTCTCCAAGCACTAGGGATAGGGGTCTGTCTGGCAGCTGGCTGGCAGGCATCCAACTCCAAAACTCCATTTTATAGTCTCGTTTCTGGAATCACTTGCAGTGCCAACTGTCTTAGACAGACTTTCCTGGGAAAGAGACTCTAGTGGGAGATTTGTGTGCAGAATTATTGGGGTGTGCCCTTGGAAACGACATCTGTACTGAAGTGATGGAAGCAGGGTTGGGCAGAGGGAGGAGTTGCTCTATGAACACTTTTGCAATAGAGGCTTCAGGCAACCCCCATAGGGGGCTCTGGAGCTGGGATTTCCTTTCAGAGTCATCCTGATTAGAGGCAAGGGGGCATGCCTTTGTACCCTGTTATTGACCTGTCCTTAAATGTGGAATGCCCCTGCTGTGAGTCATCAGCAACCAGTACTCTCAGCGGCTGGGAGATTAAGTGCCTTGGTCCTGAAGCAGGCATCTGGGCCATGCTCCAAACTGTTCCCTAAAGGATCTTTTCCATTTCTTAACATTATAAAGTGACTTAACAGAATGAAATATTATTTTAAAAAATTAGTTTCTTTGTATATGTGATTATCAATGAAGTGAGTTTCTCATTGCCAAACAGTAACTTCAGTAGGAATTTTAGATACTTATTCATCAGGCTATGTATTTGTATCCCAAATCCCATAATTTTTTTTCCCCAAAACACATAAGCTGAATGATTTAATTTAATATCAGCAAGAGCCAAACTGAATCTTGATAATGAAAATGAAGACACAGCAATATTTTCCTCCAGAAAATGAACATTTGAAGGAAGAAACATTTCTTTAAAAAAAGTTTATTTGTAAAAGACAGCCTCTTGCAACAAGGTTTTGCATTTATATTTTCATTCTGTCAAAGTGCTATTTTAAACTGCATTGAATGTAATTCATTGACTGTCTATCATTATCTTCCTGCCTCAGTTTAAAAGATGCTAGATTAAAAAATATTTACAGTTCCTTCTGGTCCTGAAGGAACTAAGCAGGGCATGTTCTAACTCTCATGTTGCTATTCAAAATATCTTAAAATTTGCCATCATAACCAGTTTAGCTGCAGTCTTGTTTCACACCACTTTGATCAGGGACATATTTCAGTATGTGTAGCAGGAAATTCTCCTGAGCACACAGCAGATGGTGCTTCCTATTTAGTACCTAACAGGCAGGAAGATTTGAACATTTTCAAAGGAGTATCTTTCATTCTTGAGGTTTCTGGTTAATATGACAAGTAACTATCTGTGACTTTTACAGGTATGTTAGTAATTTTATACCAAAAACTATGACTTCATATTGTGGTTTAGTTACTTAGTCACTTCAGGAGATCATACTTCTTATAGAACTATACCTGTTTCACCATTCCTTGATTGCCTGTGCTTAATGGAGAAGAACTTTTGTGTACAATGAAAAATAGAAAAATTTTATGTGACATTAGAATTTATTATAAGGTCTTTATAGATTTGAGTTCTGCTTGGTGTCTTCTTAAATTTAGTTGTATTTCATGAACCGGTAGTTCTGGTTCTCTGGTACAGAAGGTAGTATCAGAACAGGAGCTATGTGAGACTTGACAGTGGCTCAAGAACAGCAAGTTATTTCCTTTTAATAATTTGTCTTGGTGTAATAGGAAGAGTGCAGCTTTGTCTAAAAAACGGAAGCAACTGAAGAAGGTGGGACTTTTAAATCTTTGGAATTATATACATGGCTGAAATTTTATGACGCTGGAACTTGATTTGAGCCTGGGGTGAGTAAAGGGCCACAAGTTGATTCTTGCTGGGTTTTTTGGCTTCAAAAGTGAATGAATAATGTTAAAAAGTATTTTAGAAAATATGGTTTATCTCAACTGTGATAACGAGGTTAGCTAACCTTGAATTAGGGGGACATGTATTTCATAATTACTCTTTCCTGAAACAAAATGCCATATAAATATTCATTTTGAAGGGATCTATATTTTATACGGTTTGATTTTCAAAATGTAAACAATTATAAATATAATAGCATTTAAAAAGCATAAAAAGAGTAAAGATTAATAGTGTTTTAACTGGCCTCTCACAAGTTATGCCCTACAGTTTAAAGTTAGGCACTCCTACTTAATTCCGAAGTGTTTATCTGTAACACGGTACATATTCAGACTATAACAAAGATCTGCCTGGGGCTGAAATATGAGCTTATCTAAAGGTCACAGCAGAAAGGAGGATGAGGAATTCTGATCATTATAATTACTATAAAATATTGTTCTTACTTGTGTTTCCTTTTTTCTCCTGGAAACTGCAAGTATACGTTTGTTCTGGAACATAAGTGGTGACATAGGATGCAGAAAGAAGTGGCTAGGAATAGGGAATAGAAATTGTAAGGTATTTAGTGATGGCCTTCCTTCCAGGTAAAGTATTTCCACGATATTTCTATGTCCTACTACTTGAGAAAAGAAAAAAATAATTTCTAAAGGCTGGTTTTGAGCCTTTGTATAGTAATTAATGTCAGTCTGCCTCATAATTTCATCTTCTCTCATGGCTTCACTGTTGCCAATATTCTTTTTTTTTTTTTTTTTGCGGTACGCGGGCCTCTCACTGTTGTGGCCTCTCCCGTTGCGGAGAACAGGCTCCGGACGCGCAGGCTCAGCGGCCATGGCTCACGGGCCCAGCCACTCCGCGGCATGTGGGGTCTTCCCAGACCAGGGCACGAACCCGTGTCCCCTGCGTTGGCAGGCGGACTCTCAACCACTGTGCCACCAGGGAAGTCCCGAATATTCTTGAAACACCATAAATCCTAAAGAATCCTCCCACCATGTCCACCCTTACCTGCAAGCCAACCCTTCCCATTTCATTCCAAACAAATTCCTTCTAGGAAGTTTCCTTTGCATTAGGTGGGATGTTTTCACTATCCAAGTTTTCATATCCCTAAAATATATTAAAATGTGAAATCAATAATGCTCACCCTCCTCACAAGAAAGTCCATTAAATTTGATTAAAATTATAAATTTATGCAGATCAAGTGCCTTGAAACCTAGTCTACATCCTTTTATTGAAGTGGCTCTGATGCTTTTTGAGTTGGTGGTCATGGTCATCTTAACATCCAAACATTTTTCAGAAGAGATTAGTTCTTTGAAGCTGTTGGTTGCAGGAGCATATTAGACCAAAAAACAAACTCCCCAGAAACCTGTTACCAAATGTGAATTTTCTTTCTGTACTGGAGTTTAAAGGACACAAACAGGTGTTCATTCTTTGTTATGTTACTTTCGTAGTCAGTGGAATAACCTATAGGGTTCACAGTTGCTTTAAGTATATGTACCTGATCCCATACCGATGTGGCTGGATAATATTTTGAGATATTTATGTTTTTTTTTTTTAATCCTTCATTTTCCCCTTTCTATTCTATCCATTTAAGCTGACAGGAAGTTCCATGTGTCAGTGCCTGGGGGAAGTCAGGGAGGAGTGCAGAATAAGTCTGGAATTTTTGTGGCTTTTATTTCCAAAAGTCAAAAACCTAGAGACAGGCTAAAGTTTGAGGAAATAAGCTTGGAGAAAGTGACAGGATTCTCCTTGTTAAGGAGGGCCCTCATCCTGGGCAGGAGAGCCTAGGTTGTTGGCCCTGTTTGCAAGAGGAGCTATGCAGTGCTGCCTGGCCTCAAGGAGATGGTCCTGATGTACCTCAGGCCTGGGGTTCCTGGCCTCACCAAAGATGCCTCTGCTCCATTTGAGACAGGGTAGTGCCTCAGCACTAACTGGAGGCCTCAGAGAACTGCCGTGGGCCTGACTGACAAAGATGGCTAGAGTGATCAGAATAGGTTGGAGATTATTATTTCCTGGGACTCATGAAGGATGATCAAATTTTGATGAAAACCTGGAAGGGGAGAGAAAGGAGCCCAATGATGATGGAGAAGCAATTTTCCACCATTGTAGTTGTTAAGGACTCAGAAGTTTGTTCATTCACTTAACAAATTTTTATTAAAAGTATTCAATGAATCAGGCCCTGTTCTAATGGCTCAGACACATTCATGAACCAAAGAAAGATCCCAGCCCCAGTGGAGATGAAATTGCTTATGAAGTTATGTTTTGCTGAGTGGCCCTATTCTTCACCAACTTGCTTTTTCTGACCCAGGGTCCTTTTCCACCCCTAGGCCTTGGAGCAGAGAGAGGGAATGACTCCAAAGTTATTGTTCCAGGAACATGCAAGTTAGGATGGGGCTATGGAAGAGAAGCATTGTGAAGAATATGACAAGAGAAGGACATCCCTTGTGGAAGAGTGATGTAGAGTTAAAGGGATCCTGGGCCAAAGAATTCAAACTGTTCTTCCCCTTTCGGGCTGCACTTATGTCTTCCTTCACAA